TAGGATGGAACACAGGTAGAAAGACGATTTGAAATCAGGTAAAATCTTCTCAAGTGAGAAAACAGATTATAGGAAATATCTACAGTGTACAGACAATTAGCATTGTTCAGAAAGCCCATTTCCTTGGACATAAATCAAGTGCAAGGGTTTTCGTACTCTTACCACTTTGCCGTAGAAGCGTTACTCAACCAGGTGTCCATTTGAGTTCTAAGATTCCATTTCTAGTGCCAGAATAATATTCAGTATTAGTCTTTGCAGTCTGTTTGGAAACAGCCATTACCAGAGAATAGGGATGGTCAAGAGGGAAATAGAAGATGTCTCTGAACATTGAGTATTGCAGACTGCCTATCCATTTAGAAGGCACCACTGTTTTGGTACAAAAACTGAACCTTAAATTTAGACATCCTTAAGGCAGCAAGAAGAGATTTGATTTTGTCTACCAGGTAGCAGGGAAAATCTGATGAGTTTTAAATTTACATAAACCACAGATAAAATAACCTTTTTAATACCTTAGTTGCAAAAATTTTTCATCTAGATGTTCTAGATTTATAACAGTACAGATGTTGGCCTTTCTAGAGATCTAGTGTTATAATGCCATTACAACCTTATTCATCTAACCCAGAGGGTCTTCTCATGTTGGAGGGAGAGAGTTATTGATATATTTCAGAAATCTAATGAAGTTTTTGGACTCTTTTTCAAGGGAAAAGAAAACATATATTACCTTTCACTTATAATTTTAGGGAGTAAGAGAACATAATGTTTATTTCCCAGAGCTCAACTATGGACTGACTTCAAGTTAAAGACCTCAGATCTATGTACTCTCTGAGAATAGGTTGTCTAACAAAACAATTATACTTTCTCTCAATACTGTTTTTTTTTTAAAAAATATTACAGCCAATTGAAAAATAGTTAACATGGGATTTAAGAGCTTGTGCTCTGGAAGCAAGTAGACCTGGGTTCAAATCTTCGTTCTGTCACTTAATAGCTACATGACTTTTGGTCAAGTTCCTTGACCTTCCTGCATCTCAGTTTTCTTATCTATAAAATGGGGAGAATAATAGTACTGACCTCATAGGGTTGTGATGAAAATTAAATAAAATAACACATGATATATATATATATATATATATAT